GTTGTCCTCGGTAAATTTCCCCTGGCTCTCAATTCAGGCATTTCGCTGTCCATCAACTCAATACACGGTATTTTTCCGGGATTCTCCAGCTGTTTATCCCACACGGACTCATCAAACCTTGGACATATCTACTCACCTTTCTCCTCGTTGTCATTGTCCACAGTCTGAAATTTCTCATCGCTCTGTACATTCTCGTTCTTTTCCGATTCTTTTTCTGCACTTGTCTCCTCCACTCTAGTTCCTTCATTTCGCTTTTTCTCATCTCCTTCAACCTCTCTCTTCTCATTCACATCACCCCATCTAGTATCACTTCTCATTGTCACACTTCTAGTAATGCATCGAGAGTTCTGATTGACATTTTCAGTCATCAAGCGAGCCACCATCTTATTTTTCTTCTCAATCTCATCCTTGTCACAACCTCCAGAATTTGTTTCCAACTCCACTATCTAGTACAGTCCTTCGTAGATACTATACACAAACGTTCTTTTCATTGATAGTAGATTTTCCACTAGTGAGTTCACAAAGATCACTTCCTCCAAAATCAAGTTTTCATTATCTCTTGTCCATCCTGTTACTTTACCTATACCTTCCGCTTTCAAATTTCCCACCGAATCATTATTCGCACATCTAATAATATTATGTTCGCTCTTATCAAGCCCACGAAGAACCAGTTTGGAGTTTGTCAGATGCTCAGTTGCCCCTGAATCTACCAGAAATTTCGCTATCTATTTTGAATCCTTCCTACAGTCATTCCTCTCTATGTATATTTTCCGTACTGTCATGGGCAGTCGCGTCTAAGGTGAATTTTCTGATCGACTTTACTTCTATTTCCTGTGTTCTTACACCATAATCTCTCTCGTCTAATGTTTCCTCCTTTATTCCATGACCGACTGTAATCAGGATCTGGTCTATTTCGCTTCACACTCTTATTATTTTCCACATCACTCTCCTTTCTATTATCTCATCTACCAAAAACGACAGCCTCCCCGATTTCCATGGAATCAGGTCTTCTAGAAACATAATTATTTACATACCTCATCACTCTCACCCCTCCTTATCCCTCTCATCTCGGGTCGGAGTACAGGCACTTTGCTACATGGTGTTCAAACCTTCCGCATCTATAACATTCTCTCGCTCCTGGCGGGATGGGGTAATTTTTGCCTATATGACCATTGTCATCACACTTGAAGCATCTTACATGCTTTCGCAGGGGCTCCCCAACCGCCAGAGCTACGGGCTGGCTCGGACTTCCGGCTGCTCTTTCTGCCTGGGACTCAGTTCTTCTCATCTCTTACGCTGAGTTGTCAAGAGGAAGTTCACCGACTGTATCTGAGGTGCACTCGTCACTACAACTTTATAAAACGCGTTTCTCTTCTCATCCTCCGAGATCGGTTGCTCATTTGGAATATTATCATAATTACATAATATCTCTTCAAACCGATCCAAAAACTCTACTATCTTTTCTTTACCGGCAGAGAATTTAATGCCATACAGCCGTTGTCTCAAACTAGTCAAAGTCAAATTCACCTGACACCTTTTCAAATCACGGATCTTACTCAACAGTTCTACCGAATCTTTGATGTTCACGATTTTCCTATGATAACTCTCATCTATCTTATTGATCATTATGTCCCTAACTCTATGTTTGTGTTTTTCCTTCGTCTCCTCGTCATATTTTGAACTAGCCTGTACCGTTGAATCTATTACGTATAACAAATCGTCAGACCTCAATTCCTACGCCAATTAATCCATAAAGTGTTCTAGTTTAGTTTGACCCGTCAGCTTATAGTCCCGTCTCGAGCCCGAGTCCCTACTCATTACTTCCACCTTTATTGTTTCTTTCGGTCTGTCGTCTTTTGTATTCTCTAGTTTTTCCAGCAGCTGTTCTATTCCTAATTTTCTAAACTCCGATGCAACCGCTCTCGCAACCTCATCTCTACTATTCGATCCCTCACACTCAGTCGTCCCATTCCGCTTCTCTCTATCAGCATAAAATCTACTCAGGTAATCAATGTTGTTCCCTATCACGTCCAAATCCACTTCTCGTCCGGCAGAAAACAGCTCAACATTACTAGTGCTTTTGTGTATACATACCTTAGTTTTTCTTGTCTCAATTTCTTGCCGTTCTCGTCTCCACGTTTCTCTTTCTCGTTCAAGTACCTCTTTTCTTCTCTTCAAATCCTTCTCCTTTTCTTCAAACTCTTCTCGGCTCGTCTCACTCTTTCATTCGTCTCACTCGTCATCATTGCTCTCCGTATTTAACAATGTAAGGTTGTATATCTGTGACATGACTGAATATTGGTTCAGCATTTTCCGCTGTTTTTGCATCAGCTTTTCCAGACGCTCCACGCTCTCCACCTGTCTCGTCTCGTTGGACTCCTCCGCTGCGGCCAGAGTGCACGTCATTTCTTTTATTGCAGTCACCACAGCCTCACACACCGTGGCCACTGATCTTTTTGTATTGGCATTCTCTCTTCTAACTTCTACAATCACTTCTCATCTCTTCAATCTCTTCACTCAGCTCATCTCCTATGGTCTTTATATCATATCTCTTATTTCCTCATCTACTTTGTCTCTCTTCTCAAATTCGCCATATCCCACTCTCCTCGGACTCTTCTGACAACTCTTCCTTATCATACACTTCAGCCGCAGCGCTCATCTCTTCATCTCTACTCATCTTTCTACTCGACTTCTCGTGTGTGATTTCCACATCATGGACGGGGCCGTCCGTTAGAAGTCTTCCACCAGTCTTTTCAACCTGGTCGACTGCTTTCGTCGCCATTGACTCCTTTAGTTTTTCCATGGTACTCTTATCTGTGTAATTTCAAATAACAGCAGTAAACCAGTCTTTTACAAGCTTCAATCTGTCACACCGAACATCAAGTGCTACCAGATCACGGACAGACTAGAGATCAGATGCAATGAATCATCAAAATTGCATTCACGCTCATGCCCCATCAGATCAGATGACTAAAGCACAGCATCTGCCCATCGAATCCAGAATCAGCCCACTTTAGATTCCCGTGACTATTTTGTCTCAGATGACGGATGATTTCTATTTCACTTTCTCACATCTCTTTTCTATAAGGTAGGATGCAGTGGAACTTCAACACCGCATCTAGGCCCATGCCCTGCCAGATCAGATGACAAGCGCACAGCATTTGCCATCTCCTCTGTGACCAGAACGTTTTAGAATTGTCCAGTTTCAGTAACAGGATCCATAAGCCTAGTGGTCCGGAGCCCCACTTCAGCTGTTATGGTAATTTGAATTCAATTTTTCTCACTCATCGACTCATCTAATGGGCCTCTCACACACATTTCAATTTTATACTGTACAGTTTCAATCCTTGCATTTCACATTCACTTACACATGTGTAAAGAATTGTAACATACCTGTCTTATACACTTCTCCAGACTCTGACACAAAATACACACTCTTCTTATCATGCCTCACTACCACTCTCTCCTCCTTGTGTTTCTCGTCCAGGGCATACATCGCTACCTGTGTTTTCAAAAATAGCAGGAGTACAGAACTTTCTGCAAACAATTTTAAGATTATGATTCTCATCAATACTATCATTCAATATATCACATTCACAAATACCATCACATGGTTTTATATTTACAGTAATAGATTCAAAGAACACTACTTTGAATATACTTGATTTAGTTGTTTACAAACCAACTGTTCTCAAGAATCATTAAAATTAACACGTCAACTTATCAACATCTCATCTAAAACACGTATACGTATACATTTAAAGCTTATTTAATTGTTATCATACTTCTTATTCTCGCATTTACACCACTCGTCTACACAGTTTTCCTTTCCCATGTCAATGAGGTTAGGAGGGAAGAGGTTGGAGAGCAACCGGCAACCGATAGTCGACAACAGGCGTCCCCGTGTCATTTTTATCTTTCCCGGTTTCTGCAGTAAACCAGGCATGCCTTCAGGTGCGAACCTCTCTCTCCCTCCCTTCTCTATAAGGGTACGTTTATGTTGGAGCGTCGATAAACGATACGGGCGTCGATCATAGCAATGTGAAGTTGTCTTATTATCAGAGCTCTACTATAAACAAACCAGAGATATTTTTTCGCAGCTATGATCGACGCTCCAACATAAACGTACCCTTACACGGCTTATAACTGTCACATGTGTTTACATCTTCACTATCGACCACGTCTTTGCACTGTGATGCCGCCATCTTGTCTTTCACTTCTTTACCGATTTCGTTGCCCACGTGCTCGCAACCGTTACTAAACACCGCCATCTTGTCTTTTCTTGTCCCTTTGTTTTCGTCGAGCACGTGTTCATTCCTGCTTCTGGGCACCGCCATCTTGACTCTACGCGTCTCTTTATTTTCTCTTTCTCGCACATTAAGACATATCAACGCTTCACACTTCTAACAGACACGGCCATTGCGTGCTTTTGCGCGTCATTTCTATTAACATCTCATCTATGCCTTTTTTAGTTGCGATAGATTGCAGGTTCGAAAGGGGCAAACCACGCAGAAACCACCAGTCACATCTCACTTTTATTCTCATCTCTACACAACTCATCTCACTCTTCACCTATGCATTTTGTATTATTATTTGTTCTTACCTTTAGTCTCTGTTTCTGTCGCCTTACCTTTGCCCATAAATTCATCGCTTCTGTGGGCCATTTCAACCTGTCTCTAAATTCCAAAAATTTCTATCTATGCGTTCTCTTCCAATTGTACTTTCACTTTTCACTTTTAATTAATTCTTTAATGTCCAGAACCTGGGCCCATAACCTGTTGGGATATTGGGAGTTCTGGACGAGTGAATTACAAAACGCAGAGTATACTTTAATTACATATCTATATTTGAACTATTTCTATTACAAAAGTGTAAGTCGCATCTCGTCGCGTCAAGACTCGTTACGTAAGTATATGCGTCCAGCGCGTAGCGCGGACCTCGCTAGTTGCCTAGATGGGAGAAAGACAGTGGAGAGGGAAAGAGCGAGGAACGATTATTTCTAACAATAATAATATTTTATTCAAAATATACAAAACATTCGTTCAAAATTGTTTCGCGGTAACATTTTTCCTATCAAAAGTTCTTCGTAGCTAGTTTTAAATTGACACCTCCATTGTTAGAGAACAAGTAAGAGTACTGTCGGCAAGATTTGCCGTTTCAGCAGCAGCTGAAATAAGAATTTGTACATATTCAATTATACAGAAATCAACATTGGATACATTAAAAACAAGGCGATACTTACATATCACCAACCTAGCTAAACGCAAGGTGCAAAATAAAATTCTTGCCTTTCTTCTCAGCCAGCTGTATTTCAGGGCTAACTCGTTGTCTAAAATTCAGGACAAGACCCTTTTCACAAATTGGTAGTTATTTGTCCCCATCCCCTGTTTTTGATAATTCCTGAACCTGGAAGTAAAATATTGTTTGTAAATTATGAAAGATAGAAGCTGTTCGGTATATCAGTATCTTGCTTACTTTGCTAAGAAGGTTTCTAATTGCAGCACATCTTCTTCCCGCGTAAGGGAGAACTGCAGTCCTTCATATTTCGTGTACAACGAGACTGACTGTTCCGCGACAGGGACAACTTTTTGCGCTAATTTAAGCTGTTGCATGTCAGGCGTCAAATCCATCAATAATCCGTAGATTAGGTGGTTTTGTTTGATTATTGTTTCGAGGTAACGTACTTTTTCGATGCAGCTCTGACACTTCCCTGAATCATTGCATCCTATAACAAGTTGTTTGTTAGGTATTACAGTTCTTGAAATACATTTAATCATGTTTAGAAATTATGTAAATGAATTAACTCACTGCTACTGCTGGGACCTGCGGTGGCTGTTACTATGAGAGCTGCATTCCCTGCTGCACTGTCACCGACCGTTGCAACTACAAATTGTAGAGAAAAGAATTACATGCACAATTGGAATGATATGTTTTGTAATGCCGTAGTCACATATGTACTTTCCGTTCTCCCTTCCAGCATCGGTGGAGGCGAGCGAAAACTCAGGGAACCACTATCCGATGATTCCTCACTCTCCGACGAGACGAATCTGCGAGTCCTTTTTCGTCTTTGAATTGTCTCAACCTCTGATTGAAGGTCGCTGGTGTCCTCGGCTACCCTGGCTTTCTCCCTTGCTTTGCCATAAGTATATGGAAATATGAAATAGCATGTTATAGTGCTTGCACGTTTATGTTATCTAACAATTTTAACTTACCAAAGATCCTGTGCTTAAAAATTTGAATTGTATGAGTCGGCCAGGATGAATGTTAAGTTGGCAACATTAAAGTCGTTTTTTTTATTCATAGTTGGTTAAATTGTTGTATGCTGCCGAAACGGAAATAAAATAATTACCTGATTCTCTAATCATGGCGGAAAAGAAAAAAGGATTACTTGTGTGTTACTAAATCAAAATCCTTGTCCATCTACAAAAATACCTGTTAGGTATATTCAAAATTTGTATTTGTCGCGTACTCTCTCGAACATTCTAACGTCTGGGGTATAAAAGTGTAACATCCCACAGGAAGAAGAATAAATAAAAAAAAAAAAACCTATCATTATTAATTATTAAAAAATATATTTATTTTTTTAGTTTTTATACAATCAAAATTATAACACTTCGATTCTGATCGTAGTCCGACACGGATCTATGATACGATTACTACGTAGGTTTCCAGTAGCTTAGATTCTTTTGTCGGCGAGGCGGCAAAGGTTCCGCGTCAGACCCGGAGCGCTCGACCACCGGTTCGCAGCGGTTCTCATACGTGTCAGGTTCGCTACCAAGCTTAACGAGCGAGCGAAAGCCGAAGCTCCTTGGATGCGGCCTATTAGCACACTGGCTCTAGAGCGACGATACCGTCCTGCAGTGTTCGCAACCAAGCTTAACGAGCGAGCGAAAGCAGAAGCTCCTTGGATGCGGCCTATCAGTGACGGCTAAGTTGCTCAGAAATCGTACTGCGGCCGAACGGGTTAGCTCCTACAGTGTCGGAACGGATCCACGCCAACTCCCCGACAATCGAACAATTTATTTGAATAAATTTTATTTTATAAATTCAAGTTATAGATTTAGAATTTTCATAATCGTATCTAGAGACGCGTTCACTAATCAATTAAATTTTTCTTTGTATTTTATTTTAGGTCTTCACTATTTTGTTATTTTTCTTTGTATTTTTTTTTATATACAGGGCGCACTCATTGTAACTAATATAATTAATTTTCCTTTTGTATTTCAAGAACAGGGCGCAACATTTGTACACTGATTACACTAATTCTTTATATTATTTTCATTACTTACATTTTTATATAACTCAAATAATTACTTACCTTTTCTTTTTATACACATATTATAAACAAACACATTACATTTTTTCTTGAATAAACACTCATTACGATTTTTGAGAAAGGAATTAACGTTGGATTTCACTCCTTTACCGCGCACCACCCGAATCTATGATCCCTTCATTATTTTGTTATTTACGAGTCGCCTTCTCATAGGGAACCGCTCTCCCTACGCGGTCGGTGCAGTAGCGTACTCGCGATAATAATTCCCGGGACGTTACAAAAGTGTAAACACCGAGCACAGTTCAAGTTCAGTTGAAATCCAACTACCATGACGGGTAAACATCCATGAGAGTACCTTTTGTGTAATTTCTTTATATATGTATATATATATATATTTGTGTGTATTAGTAGAATAAACGTTTCTTTCGTTCTTTTCTTTAACCTGTCGTGCATTTTTATCTGCGCAAACAATACCTAAGCTAAAAAGACTTTTAATAGTACTAAAATATTAACAAACTAGCAGGTTATGGGCCCAGGTATTCGAATCAGTTCCACTGAACTCAAAAGTAATCATTTCTAAGTGCAAAGTGTTGTGCAATAAGTGACGCCATGGCCGAAGAATCTGAGATAAATAGCATTCAAAAATTAAAAAACCATGCTACATATCCCATGTGGGAACTTGAAATAGAAACCCTTTTTGAGGGCAGAAATCTGCTGGAAATAGTTGACGACACGGATACTCCAACTGCCGATGCATCCGAAAAGGTTAAGAAGGAGTGGAAGACAAAGGATGCAAAGGCAAGAGGATTTATATTAAGAACCATAGATCCAGCAATAAAAGTTCATGTTCTCACTAAGAAGACCTTGAAGGACATATTCGACGCGCTCAAGAAAATCTACAAGAGAGATACGGCACAAACCAAGCAACAATTGATGACCGAGTTTCTCAACTTCAAATGGAACAAGAACGTAATTTTTATGCAGAATTTAAGCTCCATAAGAAACATGGCTTTCAGATTAATAACTGCAGAAGAAAATATCAGTGACGACATGATAGTGATAAAAATATTGTTGAGTGAAGAAACTAGCAATGAATTCACCGGCTCCAACCCTTTAATTGCGGCTGTTAAGCCATTTCTGTGCAACGGTGGCCAGTGGCATAAATCCCTTCGAATCCATGTTGACGGGATAGCCTCGTCGGTACCGTCGTCCACAAACCGCACGACGCGACGGTCCAAGTTTTGGCCGACATATTTTGTCTTCCTAACAAATCTTCGGCGAGATCACTTTTTCATACTAAGAGTACTAATAATTACTAAATGATAAACTAAAAGATGAACTAAAATGATAAAGGTAACAAAAAAAGGCTATTTTATGTTGTGAATAAATGAAAACAAATGGGCGAAAAATTATCAATTGGTATGAAACAAAAGGAAAATGACAAATTCTTCTACAAGTTGTAATTTGACAGATTTATAGTTAACAACTCCGAAGTCGAACATTTCAGAAGGTCCTAAATGTGGTTCTACTAAAAAAATACTCAACAGTGACCATTTACTTGGTTGTGTATAAAAATCTGTTGTAGTTAAATATTTTCGACCGATTAATTTATATTCATTGTTTACTTCAACTGCATTTTGCATAAGAATGATACTATCGTCGCAAAAACTGCAGCAGTTGTTAGGATCGGTAGTTTTTAAAATGAAATTGTTAAATAGAATCATTTCAAATTGCTTCGAGACTAACATATCTCCTATTAATGGAACATCGAAATGTTGATTTTTTTAAATTGGGTATTCTATGTTTCGACTTGTTTCTGTGTTAAGGAGATTACATTTTTTTAAATGTCTTTTAACTATTTGTTGTAAAGCTTTTTTACTAATAGATTTCAATATACTCTGTAAAAAATTTTCAAACGGAAAACAACCAAAATCATCAGCTGGTCCATGTCACTTAACATCTTCTGCGATGTGCGACAAATTGTGAATATTGTGAGATATATTTTCAGATCCATATAGTATTTTAAATGTTGTAATAAAATGTTCGAATAACTGTGACGCGTAATCGATATGTTCGAAATTCGAAATACCTGGAATTTGTTAATATAGTCAATCCTACGTGCAGCGAAAGAAAATTTAAAAAATTACTGGACCAGTGTAAAATAACAATTGTCGAAATTCTGTCGCTTACCATCTTTTTACTTTATATAGAGAACGAGGTTTTCTATTAAATTCTATGGGAATACATTTCCGGAGTTCAGTCAAGGTGTTAGATATGTTCAATACTTTGGCATTGGATATTTTGGTTGAAGGTTTACCACAACACCACAAATTAACCAGTAATTTCTTTGTTACGCCCAGACAAACAAGTTGCATATAATCTAACGGAAAGCTATCTATCATACCGATTCCCGAAATATGTTCCAAAATTGATGACCCCGTATGATGGTCTTCTTGCAATTTTAATCTACACTCAGAGTCGGTTCTTGAGCGAATTTTCCTCACATCAGGAAAACATATTCTATTTTCTATGAATTCTCCTTCAGATTGACACTTGGTGCAAGAAAAATAGCCTGTATGCATTTTCACGCATTTAATTGAGGCTTTAACGGGAGCATCAGGTATAAAAGATTTATTTATTAAACGATACAATTTTCCATTCATTAAAAATCCGTTATTAATGATATTTATTGCCACCTGCACAAAATCACTTAAAAAATTATTCATATCTTTGGGTTTCTCATAACCATGGTAAATACCAACCATATCTACTATATTTTTATGCCCTGCAATGCTACATAAAATCGGATAAACTTCGCTACTTGAACTTTTAGATAGTGGCAATCCGTCAATATTAATATTAATCTGAATTGTATTGTTAATAAAATAATTTTTATCAAAAAATACAACCGACTTCGAGATGCGCTAAAAAGTGTAAAATAATTTCTATTTCATTTATACCATTACTCCACAGCTATTCATAAAACCTATTTGATTGTTAAATAGTATATTAAATGCATTTCCATCTTTTCGGAGGCGGCGTAAAATGAAAAACTTTTTTTCTACTAGGATGATCCTAGTTCAAGAGTCAGCAACCTATGACAAATGACCCACTTGATAATTTCAAGTAAACAATATTCCAGGGTGAATCAACATATTGATAAAATTTGATTGTTAAATAGTATACTAAATACATTTCAACCTTTTCGGAGGCGGGGCAAAATTAAAAATATCCGAATAAATGATACTGCCAATAACAGTTCGATTGCGATATGGCGATCTTGGTAATTAATAAGTCGTAAGAAAAGATACGGAACATTATAGATACGGCTGAGAACATTAGTAATTGTAACGATTGTATCAGAAGTTAGCAACATTTCTGATGTACATACATGTAGTTAATCTGCAATGGGTATGTTGATTCCCATGGAATATTGTTTACTTGAAATTATCAAATGGGTCATTTGTCATAGGTTGCTGACTCCTGAACTAGGATCATTCTATGTAATAGAAAAAAAGTTTTTTATTTTACGCCACCCCCGAAAAGGTGGAAATGTATTTAGTATACTAATATTTAACGATTAAATAAGTTTTATTAATAGCTGTGAAGTAGTTCACATCATAATTTAGCGCATTTCGAAGTCGGTTGTATTGTTTGTTAAAAATTATTTTATATCTAAATTACAATATATCATATTCCATTCAATAAGTTCAATTATTCTAAACAATCGTTCGCCCAAAGTGATTCATGTTTGTAACAAACAGCCCTATTAAGTGGACACCTACAATAACAATGTGGAATTGTTTTATGGTATTAATGGTGTCGATACGTGATATGTATGTAGTATTTAATTGAAAGTAATCGCTACCTCCGCGCATTATTGACGGTCGCAACATTAACCTTGAAGAGAATAGATTGACTGTTGAAAATGGTCCGATGTCGTTAGCGCAGCGATGCCGATAAATGTAGAAAATTTATATGAAGAACGCGATTATCACTTTGACGCTTTAGTGTGATCCAAATGTTTTTATCTGCACGATGATTATGCATGACGATTTCTTGGGTCTCGTTCAGTGTATCAGATCATCCCATAAACTGGCATCCCGTAAACTCGTACCTGATCTCATGGTAACGTACAATGTAACTGCTAGATACCCTTACATCGCGATTGTACAGATTTATATATAAGCAAAGGAAAAAGTGGCCAAGAAGAATTACAGGTGTTTGCGCATGGGCACATCAAACGGTGCTTTTCACAAGACTGCCGAGAGAATCGATAAGAAACACATGCTCCACGCAGAGTCACGTAACTTTGTAAATATTTCTTCGCTCACTCTTGCTTGGCCTCGCATACTATCCAGTTCAATAAGAATTGGAGCAGGATCAAAAGGTACATGATGATGCCACCCACGACCTGCAAAAGAATTTTGTTCTAATTTAATTGAATGGAGAGGAATTTAAACTAAAGCTTTTGTCCTCAGCTTTGCCTCCTTTACTATATACTGTACAGGGCAAATTAAGGGCAATCTTACCTCTGCAAGAAGCGATGCGTTCATATCGAATATTTTCGCTGAAAACGTAGTGTCACAGTGTAGTAATTGCAGCGAAAAAAGCTCCAGCTGCAATTCAATAGAATTTATAAGCATCTTTTGAAGATTCGATGAATTTATAGCTTACCTCGCGTTTCACCGACAAATCGGTCGCTCCGCTAAGGGCATCGTGAAGAGTAGTACGGATTTCTTTGGCTTTATTAGTCGCCGTTTCACACGCCCAAATCAACGTAACAAATTTTAAAAAATTATATACGATAGGAGGAATATAGGGCCAGTACCAAAAGTGTAGATTTTTCCGACCTATTTCCCCACCGCTGACCCGTACTAAACAGAAGTACAAATCAAAAGTAACAACAATAAAAGTCTTTACAGCTGTTACTATGAGTAGCGTCATAAATATTTTGTTCAGTAATTGTAGAATATCGGTGACCTGCAGGTATTTCCCCTCTAAATTCTTCAACTTCATCAGCAACGAAGCAGTCCTCTGTTTGTGGCGCAGAAATGTCTTGGTGATGGGTTTTCGAAGTTTATCAAGATCTTCGTTGATTTTCATGAAGCATGCTTTTAAAACGCATGCCGAGTTAATGTAGAACATGTCCATGATAAAGTTCACCAAGACCATGAATAGAGCGGTAAAATTTTTCACTGTCATAAACGTGAATCCATTTTTAAAGCAATTGAAGACATGACTTGAGAGAAATAAAAATACAAAAATATCCTTTGAATGAACGAATATCGCCATGTCGTTGAAGTCCTTTGGTGCGACCATGGAGGACGCCTCAGTGAGCTCCTGAAGAAAGCGCAGTATCGCTTTATGTTGCCCGTACGTTAACAAGACAGCGTTTCCACACATGATGAGATACGAACTCTGATACAGTTTCCTTGGTAGAGTACTGGATGCCGGTGAGGTCAAATCAATTTCATGTACCATATAGAATACCGCGATCAGAAACGTGGCCAAAATGGTCATTGAATAAATGACACGAATTCTTGAAAAGGTATATCCTGAAGAGGCACATTTGAAAGGAAAAATTCCGAATATATTTGCGATGAAATAGCAAGGGTATACCAGCGAAATGAAATCTGTGGCGTGAAATAGTTTCCATTTCTTGTTCTCCTTTAATTCTGTCATCCTCCCAGCTTCAGACATCGATCTTTCGCAACTTGGAAAGTTACAGAGAAAAAAAATTTGATGTTACTCACAAAAATAGTCTGTCTGACAGACTCATAGAAAAAAATTTCGTTATAAAAATGGTCAGACTGTTTGTGTTTTCAATAAACTCGAGATACTGATGTTTAATCATCCATGTAGGACGCTTGAACGATACTCTTGATATTAGAAAATTGCATGATATTAAAAAACAAATTGCAATAAGATAATACATAACGTGAATAAATAATTTGTTGCATAGTTTGCTTTTAGCATGATTAAAAGTGGTTGTTACGTTGCGACGCGCGTCGCGTGTCGGACGGCGGCGCAACGTACAAAATGAAAAATTGATAAAAATTAATTTGGAAGTTAATTATCTATGCGCGGTAGAGAAAGATATAAGCGCTGCCACCAGTCCCAAGTGTTTCTGACGGTCGCTTTCGCGATCGTCCTCTACGTTTGGAACAATTAAAAAGTCAGTAAAATCCAATTAACGATCCTGTTGCTGGGTTCGTTGATACTTTGGTCCCAGACCGGCCCCTCGATTAAATTTATGCTATGTTGGTAGGCGTGAAATATGAGATGGAAGTGTTTGGTGTTTGAATGAAATTAAACAGAATTTTGAAACAGATCGTATAATTCCAAAAATAAGTAAAATATCAAAAATAACAACAAGGGATCTGTATAACTGATGTATGAGTTTTCAACAATGTGTACGTGCTGTGAGAAAATATAATATAAAGAGATGGATTATATAAAATATATGATTTAGTAGCGGATATCAAAAACTACATTAGATTGAACAATGTATGGACATATTAGTTTAGATTCGGACGACGATGAAGCGCTTAGATTTTAACGCGAATATTAATGCAATAGTTTCGCGACTTCAATAGTTTATAATGAGAGATCGAACCTAGCGGATAGAGTCCTGATACTACCAGGACCAGACGGTCTTATAGGCTGTCTCTCTCTTTTCGATGGTTGAAAATTGCATAAAACGGAAAACAAAAACACTTATTGATACCTGAGTTTATGATGCGGTACGATCTAGTGGGAAACGTCCAGGACAGCGGTCACGTAGATCGCCCGTTTTGCCCCACGTAAACCAGATTGTCTTATTAAAAAAAGAGAATAAACAACTTACCAAAGTCGATGTGAAATAGTATACAATATATTATATAATTGCTTTGGTAGATTCGGTGATGCTGTCTGGAAATCTGGGAAACGAGGAAGGATGAGAACTTGTCACACGCGCACTTTCGCGATCACAATTGGCCTAGTTACGATGTTACAATTAAAAACGATTATCAACCCGGTATTCGATTATACAAAATTACAACACGACGCGAGAAAACAGAAAAATAATTTATACGAAACGAAACACGATTTAAAACGAAAGAAAAAGATAGATAATTGAAGAGTATGAAGATTTTACGTATTTGTTTGAGTCTTTGCCGCGAAACGCGATTCAACTTTAATTAACGCGAGTACGTCAACAACTCTGTCTCTACGCGAACACGGGCTCCCCGTCACGTACCTTACGATTTTTCGACGAAGAGTGATTTGCTTCAGTTAGCTATATAGTCTCAGGGTTCGACTTACGAACGGTACCCCGCGTAGGGATATCATTTAGCAAATCATAATACGCGTTGAAGGAGAAGGCCCACCCGTTCGTCATGACGTTGTTGGGATCCGGGTGAAGAACGATCGCTTTTAATGTATAAAAGTTTATTCGAGTTGTTCTCTATGTCACGCCGAACTCAACTACAGTAAAACCTGGATAAATGCAACCAAGATTGGGACCCAGTGGTTGCATTTATCCAAGCGAGGTGTCGAATCTCGGGTTACACGCGACAACCAGCCAAGCGTGAACGTAGAAAGAGACAGACAGTGGTGGAAAGAGAGAGGTCCGATGATGAAAGGAAAGAGCCGAAACGTAACGGTGTGACTAATACTAATTCAACTATAAAACTTTTTTATTTTTGACTTTTTTTTAATGAAACTTTTACCAGCGGATTGGTGACATTTTTCTTATTAAAATGATACCAAACACGATATAGTTTGAATTATAATTACTTGCTAAAGTTGATGTTAAAGGTTGGCGAAAAGCAACAGAGATCGAAATCAAAACCAGTCGCCGTGTCGGCTCTTCAAAGGTTTCATTTATCCAGGCAAGGTGGCGATTCTGGGCATTTAATGTTGCATTTATCGAAGCGAGGTGTCGATTCTGGGCATTTAATGTTGCATTTATCAAAGCGAGGTGTCGATTCTGCGTCCGTATACATGTTTTGTATTCAGCCGACATGCCGATTCTGTGTCCGTACACATCTTTTGTATTCAGCCGACATCATTTACATTCAGTCGTGGTGTCAATTCTATGTTGTTTATTCTATTGCTATTGTTTATAAATATAATTCAAACTATATCATGTTTGGTGTCATTTTAATCAGAAACATCTCACAAATGCGTTAGTAAAAGTTTCATTAAGAAAAAGTTAAAAATAAAAAAGTTTTATCGTTCAATTAGTATTAGTCACACCGATATCACGGTCGGATTATATTACACGGTTTTCTCGTCGAGCGGCTCGGTTCGTCTAGGGGGATCCCCCCAAGTGGAGGGGATAGCGATGTTGCACTTATCCAAGCATTCTTTCGTTGCATTTATCCAGGTTGTACTGTAAGGCTATTTACATGAATATGATATATGCAATGGAACACGACAAGTACTTCGCTCGGTGGTTGAATCTTTATTTCTGTCCTCTGACCTATTGTTAAGGTATATACAGGGTGTCCCAGAACTGGGGTAGGAGCCGAAGAGGGATGAGTGCTGAGGTCATTCTAAACAACTTTTTCCTTTGCCAAAATGTTGTTTAAGGGGGTAGAGACAGGTAATGCAGCGAGGTGACATTACTGGCAAAAATGGGTCTAAAAAGGGGTCCGGGATTTTTCGCTTTTCGTCCTTATATGCGAAGATTTAGGGCTGGGTGAGGGCTCATTCGAAAGAGGAAGGTCCAATGCAGGGCGGTCTGGTCATGGTTCAATGCGATTGTGTTGATATCTAATAATATGAATGTCCAAAGTAAAGGAAGAATCGACAAAATACATCCACAGATTCCAAGTATTTTTTAGGTCAGTAAAACAGTTCTCTGACTCAAACGGTGACCAGACCGCCCTGCATTGAACCTTCCTCTTTTGAATGAACCCCTATTTAGATCAAAATCTTCATACATAAGGACGAAAAGTGTATTCCGGTGAAAGCATTCCCACAGACGAGTTCCGCCATTATCTGGATACTACAGAGCAAGTCACGTGACAAATTTAGTTCAGCTAGTAGTTATAAGGTGACGTCTAAGTAGAAAGGCTGCCGATTTGGAATCGTAGTCAGAATCAAGCGTTAGCTTGATTACGTCACTCGAACTGTGCTGCGAAGGCAAGCGAAAAAGGCAACATCGCCCGAACGCTGAGTGAGACGCACTACAGTCATGCTGTCCTTTTTCATTCTGAATGTTGAGATTATCCCTTTTCGCTAAGTTTTGACTGCGGCCCGCCTGGATTTTTCACAGCGCCCCATAACCTCGCCCCATTCAAACTATATCGTGTTTGGTACCATTTTAATCAGAAAAATTTCACCAATGCGTTAGTAAAAGTTTCAATAAAAAAAAGTCAAAAATAAAAAAGTTTTATAGTTGAATTAGTATTAGTCACATCGATACGTTTCGGCTCTGTCCTTTTCTACGTTCACGCTTGGCTACTCGTCGCGTGTAACCCGAGATTAGACACCTCGACTGGATATATGCAACGTCTGGGTCCCAATGTTTGTTGCATATATCCAGCTTTTACTGTATTCAGCTTTTACTGTATAGACCGGAGGTCCCGCCATTTATTAGTTCTAATAGTACCATAGTACATTTTTATGCAGAATGTTTCAAGGAGTTGACACAAGTAAAAAGAAATGCAATTCCATTTAAATAAAAAGTGGATTTGCATTTTTTGAGTGCATCGTTGCATTCACGAAGAAAATGAAATCACAGAAAAATAGGCATTATCATACCATTGAACTTTTACATAAACAGCGTTTTCCTATCTCTTACAAAATTCAAGATACAACCCGTCCCAATTGCATGGCGTATCCTGTATACTTTTATTAATTAGAAAACATTTATTTAAAGAAGTTAATAACTTTTTCTAAAAATAATTCTCAGATTGCACGTTCCTTCGGCTCTTCAGAGTAGGCATATATTTTTCAGCAGCGAGGAGTGTTACGGTGCGCTATATAAAATCCACGCGTTTGGTCAGTCAAAATTTATCGCAGCGGGATAATTCTATCAATTGGGTTGAAAGAGGGATCGCACGATCACCGTACATCTCACTCTAAACACGCGCCAATGTTTCGCTTCCGTTTTTTAGGCGTACCGTCGCGATTCCTCTTGCGAGATGAGCGTTTGAATGTGTTTGTAATAAAAATACTTGAGGCGCTGTTGCCTTCCTAGATCGTATTGCGCGCACGCTAGCTGAGAATTAAACCTTTCAAGTTCGTAAAAGACCACGCAAGTGGCTCCACCAGGCCCAACGAAAAAACTGCTGTAATACCGAAGTCCCGAATCGGAGAGGTCACGTGCCGTGTCTACCCCTTAAAAGCAAAAGTGAAAAAATAGAAGTTTAATATGTAGTATGAAAAGCTTAACGTACGCGTCGCTGAATTCTTGCCGCGAAATCGGAAACAGCACCCTCACGACACTGCCCCGCTACGCGGAGGACTTTGCCGAGCAGCTAATTATCGCGATTTCCAATCGGCAACTCTATCTCTAGACGCACGGTCTCCACCTCACGCACCTGCGATTGACCGACGAAGAGTGAAAAATTTCGATCGCGGTCCTCGCCTGAGGGGTTCGTCGCGCGATCGATGTCCTGCGTGGGGACATCCTAGCGAATCGGGGTGCAAAACGGTGGCGTCACGTGCTCTTTGATTGGTTGACAGCGCGTGCTAGACGAAATTCTTCTCTCTGGTTCCTTGATCTTGCTTTCTCTCTCTATAGTATCGTCCATTTCCTTCTAACGGTTTCGACGATTCTACGCAGTTGAAATTTCCAGAATGTACGACGGAATTTAAGATAATTTAAGTATAGCATAGATTTACCCGAATTAAAATTACTATTATTAACAAAATTAACATACACATTATGCCGAGTGCTAACGGTTGACTCTTTTAACAACTGCTCGCATGGTTTTAACAAAGGGTGCACGATTGAATAACTTTTGCCTCGAGTTAACGCATTTCGCATGTGTATAGCGCATGGAATGGAATGCTTCGATAATTAACAGGTCGTTGCTCAACAATTCAATCCGCGACGATGTAGATTTAGCATTCGGACTTTAGTGTAATCTATTTAAACGATTTTGAATCTGTACGGCGACATTTGTTCGAGAACTTTCTTTCTATTTGAAATTTACCGTTGGGTCCCTTTCGCCAGGCAAATTCTCGGTATTTCTATACAATAGCATTTATTGCCTCGTACGACCCTTGTTTCCAAACAGTCTTCGAACGTTCGCTAACATTCGTTCGCTTTAGCAAAGGTTCTCATCCTTCGTTTTCACACCGTTTAAATATTTAAACATTCATACTCATTTGCGCCTTTACACTATCATTTCATACGCATACGTGGTCATCTTGGACTGACTGGCGCTTGTGCTGGGAGAGGGAGGGTATCTGACAGAATAAGGAAGTATGTAATCATAATCTTTTGTAAGCGCCAAACCAAAATCCCCATCTAGCGGGAGAAAGACGGGATCACGCGATTAACAAGATCGCGTAATATCGGCGAGGGGGGAGACAGTCGACGAAGGACCGTCGAACGGTGTATTCTGAGTTGCATTGAACTTGTCGCAGTGAAGTTGGCTACAAATTCACTAACACATTCACGCCGCGTCGGTGAGTCGATCTCGCCCATCGTCTCACCAACGCAGCGTGGATGTGTTAGTGAATTTGTAGCCAACTTCACTGCGATAAGTTCAATGCAATTCACGAGGGGAACTACCCAAGTGTTACGCTCACTTATTAATGAAACTTTGCCACCTTGTAGAGCTCGTCGCCCTGAACACGCCTATACCCCCTTTTGGGGGCAGACGGCTAATTGTTTAAAAGATATTAACAATTAAAGTTAGTTACTACTTACATTGAGAAGCATGACAAACTAACACACATAAATGCTTAGCTCCGCGGTAAAACGCTTGACTCACAATCTAACTGTCCACGGTTCAAGTCCATGGTTCCGAACTTTTTTTTTCTTTTTCTTTTTAATGATAATTTGTCTCTTTTTGAATAACTATTACAACTGTGCTATAATCATTGCATTTATTAATAGGTAATTAATTACATGTGCTGAAATTTTTATAGAATTTAAGTTATTTTTTCTATCCAATGCGTACATTAACACCCTTACCGCATTCAAAATTTACTAGCGTTTATTTGTTATTATACACACACAATTAATTTCCATAAAATACGAATATAATTTCTGTCCTATTGTTTTGGATTCTTCACTAATGTCTTCTGCGTCTTCTTCTAATGTTGTAAATATAAATTATAAATTTGCACAGTAGTATAAATGAATGTAACTAAATAAATATAATTAAATAAATTGAACTTGAAAAAACAAATAATAACAAATAAACGCGTGTAAATTCTGAATCCGGTAAGGGTGTTAATGTACGTATTGGATAGAAAAGATAACTTAAATTCTATAAAAATTTCAGCACATGTAATTAATTACCTATTAATAAATGCAATGATTATAGCACAGTTGTAATAGTTATTCAAAAAGAGACAAATTATCATTAAAAAGAAAAAGAAAAAAAAAGTTCGGAACCAT